TGTGTGTATGTGTAGGCAGGGGCAGAGTGGGTGGGTGGATGTGTAGGCAGGGGCAGTGTGTGTGTGTAGCCAAGGGCATAGTATGTTTGTGCATGTGTCTGTGTGTAGGCAGGGGCACAGTATGTGTGTGTGTGTGCACGTGCGGGCAGGGGTAGAGAGAGAGAGAGTGTCTGTAGGCAAGCGTGAGGTGGGGGGCATGTAGGCAGGGGCAGTGTGTGTGTCTTTGTGTGTAGGCCAGGGCAGTGTTTGTGTGTAGGCAGGGGCAGAGTGGGTGGGTGGATGTGTAGGCAGGGGCAGTGTGTGTGTCTTTGTGTGTAGGCCAGGGCAGTGTTTGTGTGTAGGCAGGGGCAGAGTGGGTGGGTGGATGTGTAGGCAGGGGCAGTGTGTGTCAGCAGGGATAGTTTATGTTTGTCCATGTGTAGTTAGAGACTGTGTGTGTGTGTGTGTGTGTGCGCGCGCACATAGGCAGGGGCAGAGTGGGTGTGGGTGTAGCCAGGGGCAGACTGTGTGTGTTTAGGCAGGGTCACTTTGTGTGTGCATAAGCGGGGCAGAGTATGTGTTTATAGGCAGGGGCAGAGTGTGTGTGTTGGCAGGGGCAGAGTGTGGTTTTTTTGTGCATGTAGGCAGGGGTGGACTGTGCGTTTGCATGTGTAGGCGGTGGCAGTGTGTGTGTGTGTGCGCACGCGCGCGCGTGCACGCACACATAGGCAGAATCAGAGTGCATGTGTGTGTGTAGGTAGGGGCAGATAGCATGTGTGTTTGTAGGCAGGGCAGAGTGTTTGTGTGTTGTGTCTGTATGTATGCACGTGCGCGCATGTGTGTGTAAGCAGGCTCAGAATATTTGTGTGCTTGTGTGTGTTGCCAGGACAAGATATGCATGTGTAATCAGGGCTAGAGTGTACGTTTGTGTGTGTGTGTGTGTGTAGGCAGGGGTAGTCTGTGTTTGTGCATGTGTAGGTAGGGGCATAGTGTGCAGTTTTGTGTGTGTAGCCAGGGGCAGAGTATGTGTGTGTAGGCAGGGGCAGAGTATATGTGTGTAGGCAGGGGTAGAATGTGTTTGTGTAGGCATGGGCAAATTGTGTGTAGGCAGGGTCACAGTGTGTGTAAGCG